ATTGATGGCGTCAAGTGTGGCGGCGGTAGTGAGGTTGGCCCAGGATCGGACATTGTTTCGTTCTGCTGTGCATGGGGTCGCTATAAGTCGGTTCTGACTCGATGGCACCTGACAACAACAACAACTCTGTCTTAGTCTGGGAGTTCCACTAAAATCTGTCCACCATGGGTGATAATCCTGGTATTTGAAATACCAGTGGCACAGAATAACAGCAACATGCAAGTCACCATAGTACAACCAACTAACTGATAAGTGGTGGTGTATACCACTTACAACTTTAAATAAATACCCTTTTCAAGAACACTATGGTCAATTGCTTGTTAATAAAGAGGCAGAAAAAAAAGTATCATTTAAGTCTAATTAGATTATTAGCTTAAAAATTTTAGCAATAGAAAATAAAATTTAGTAATTTTTTACTTGAGGTGGAATCTCTGTCTCGTTAATATTTGTTAAGCCTATTTCTAATATTGCTCAGGTCAAATATAGCAAGTTCCCCTTGGAGGAATGCTCATTCTTTAACTAATGGCTCTATATTCTTTTTTTAAAATGTATATATATGGTGTGGCGCTGTGGGCTAATGCGTCAGACTGCAAAGTCGTTTGGACTGCAAGGTTGATGGTTCAAGCTCACCAGCTGTTCCTTGGAAACCCTATACAGTATCACTGTGGGTCAGAATCAACTTGATGGCACTTAACAACAGCTGTGTATATATATATATATATATTCACACAGTTACCCATGTATGCTGCAGTCAAGAAGCCAAAGGCGCCATATTGCAAAACTCTGTTGCAAAACATCTCTTTAAAGTGTTCAAAAACAAAGATGGAACTTTGAGGACAAAGTCACCTGACCCAAGCAATGGTATTTTCAATTGCATCCTATACGTGCAGAAGAAGGAAGACCAAAGAAGAACTGATGCTTTCATGATTCTGTTGAAGAATACTGAATGTAGCATGGACAGCCAGAAGAAAGAACAAATCTGTCTTGGAAGAAATACAGCCCGAATGTTCCTAAGAAGCAAGGATAGTGAGACTGTCATATACTTTGGACATATTATCTGGAAGCATTAGTTCGAGGAGAAGGGCGTCTTGCTTGTTAAAATAGAGATTCAGCATAGAAGAGGAAATCCATCAACAAGATGGACTGATACAGTGGTTTCAGCAATGGACTCTACCATAGCAATGATTGTGAGATGGATGCAAGATTGAGCTGAGTTTTGTTTTGCTGCACAAAGGATAGCAATAGGCTGAAATCAACTAGACAGCACCTAACAGCAGCAATATATAAAGCTGCATAATTGCATAAACAAAAGCATTATTTTCCATGCTGGGTAATGCATTTATTTTTGCATTTTATATTCTACTTGGCTGCCCAGTTTCCCTTTCATTATCAAAAACTCATGTCAACAGCCTATGATGAAATCTTTTATCTTTCATTAGTAGTTTTCATGCTAATATCATCATACAAACAAAAAACAAACCCAGCCATAGGAACCCATTCTAACTCATAGCAACCCAACTCACAGTCTAGGGCTGCTAAGGCTATAAATCTTTATGGGACCTCATCTTTAAAGTAGCCACATCTTTCTCATGAGTGGCTCATGGGTTTAAATTGTGGTTAGTAGTCCAGTGCTTATCCTACAGCACCACCAAGGCGCCTCACATCATACAAAGCTCAAAACTTACTGGCACTGAGTTGATTCCAATTCATAGCAACCAACAATTCATAGTTCTCCAGGCTGTAAATTTTATTTTCTTCTAAGGAGTGTTTGGTGGGCTTGAACAGCAGACCGAGTTAGCAGTCCAGTGTTTATTCTATAATGCCACTAGACCTCCATCTCATCATAAAAAGTAGCTTCAAAAATTTTATGAAAACATGGAATTAAAAGAGAATGGAAATGATTATATATTCCTGAGTGCTTTTGTATATATAACAACAACAACAAAAACACAGAGGAAATAGAAGCAAATACTGTTGAATGATGATGCACAGAGGAGATTGTAATCATTGCAATTAAATAAAATACGTTAGGATGAGTGTAAACCCGATGTTCTCCCATGTAAACTATCACTCAATTCACAATAAAAACTTTTAAAAAATAACAAAAATACAGTCATTAAGGTCATAGGCCCTGTCCAGAGAAAGACTATGAACTCCATATTAATTAAATCAATGGGGTGCAGGACTTTTTAGACTAAGGTATAAATTCTTTGCAAACCTGCTGTACCACACATCTGCGGGTGTTTACTGGGTTGGGCGCCTAATTTTGTTAAATCAAATAAAGAAAACCTCACTCTCACTAAAATGAGTACCAATTGTATTTCTTGAGTGTTTGTCAGTAAGCACTGGTGATAACTCATCAGTGATCTCATAAACAAGAGGAATCGAGGCAGTATCTGAGGTACCAACAAGGTTTCTCACAATACTTCGCAATGCTGTCAATAGCATGTTATGATCCACACAACCGAAAGCCTTTGCATAATCAATAAGGCACAGGTAAACATCTTTTTGGTACTCTCCGCTTTCAGCCAAGATCCATCTGATGTCAACAATGATACTCCTCGTACCACGTACTCTTCTGAATCCAGCTTGAACCTCTGGAAGTTCTCAGTCAATGTATGGTTGCAGCCATTTTTGTACTACCTTTAGTAAAACTTTACTCACAT